AATATTCCAAAGAAAAGAAACGTATACTCATTCTAAACAAAAATAACAAAAATCTGATTGCAATAAAGAAAATTAAATCGTACCTGCTCTGAGAAATAATCTCAATTAAATCCTACATCGACTCAATTAAACCCGTTTAAACTTGCTAATTAACTTATTCCAAAATACAAAATTTTATACAAAGCAGAATATATATATATATATATATATATATATAAAATGCACAGCATCCAGATATCACCTACCAAAAAAATCAAAAACTCGATCCCAAAAAAATTCAACGATCACATCTCGAGTAACAAGCCGTTCGCTTCACGAATTTCCCCGTTTCTTAGCGATGGAAAGATGGAAAAAGAGGGACGCCCCTCCCGAGAAGAGGATGGATTCCCCCGAGCGGAATACCATCTCCTCATCTTCCCTCCGCGCGAGAGCAAAAGCACGGTTGCACCATAAAGCCGCACGATCGACGATACCGCAATAGGCTGCCGTGGCTATCGTACGTGATATGTTTTACGAGCCGGCCAGCATGCGAACGCGGCCAAACAAGCGGGCAAATCCTCCCCCCCACTCCCTCCTCGCGCCCGCATCCTTTACGATCGCCTTTCGACTCCTCCGGCCCGCTGACAATCGAAGCTAGATAGAAGAGAGGTTCTTAATCGCGATCGACTGAGGGGGAGGGAGGAAAGAAGAAAAAGGAGGAAAAAGAAGAAAAAGCACGAGCTGCCGGGGGAGAGAGCTCGTGCTCGTTTGCCGGCCTGGTACTAAATAATTCATCGGGCTGCTTTTGGAACGGAGGGGTGGGGATCACCATTTTTTATAATTATCAATTTTTTAGATAAGAATTCGATCAAATTAATTTTATAATTTGTAACATTATTATATATACGTATACGTATAAGAATAAACTAGCTTTATATAATAACATATTAATATTTAATTATAATTGTATTTGTTGCTCGTTTAAACGTTGCATCCATCGAGTGGACGGATCGAATCGTGTTTCTGGAATTTTCCCGCCCGCGGTTTATTAACGGTGGACGATCGGTGGTACGTGCAATATTCATTTATTTGCCGCGCGCAGGATTGTTGAACAGAAGGGAGAGAAATGTTAAAAAAATTCTTTCGAGTTCAGCAATAATTTTTTATGATAAAAATAATTAAGATAGGCTTTTCTTCAATTTAATCGAAGAAAATTGAATTTGATTAAATTTCTTTTTGTAACAATTGTACGTGCCAAGTATTTTATCAAGTTTAATTAGTTCGGTGTATATATAAACACAAGTGATTAATTCTTGATGAGTTTATATGTTTTAATAAACACATCACCATTTTTTATAATTATTAGTTTTTTAGATAAGAATTCGATCAAATTAATTTTATAATTTGTAACATTATTATATATACGTATACGTATAAGAATAAACTAGCTTTATATAATAACATATTAATATTTAATTATAATTGTATCAGATCTGCATATCAAATTGTTATATTCTTAGCTCAGAAACGGTATGAAACAAACATTCCCAATTGACGACATGAAAGAAAGAATATTTGTGTACGTTACGTCCTGTTATGCTGAATAGTAGTGAATTGATTCTAGGTAAGAATATATTTCTAGAAATAAGGAATCGATTTATCGTGTATACATGATATAATTGAAAGTAAATTTATTGAAATACGTTGACTGTTGTGTTATCGATTCATTACTAATGATATCGAGAAATAATTCAACCGAAGAATTTTTCATCATTAAATTAAAATACAAATATATTAATAATTTATTAATTTTAGAAAAGAATCTATCCACAAAAATTTTTCTCCAATTTTCAAAGCTGCAATCATCAAAGGAAATATATGAAAAAAAAAAAAAAAAAAAAAAAAAAAGAAAAAAATCAAAGATATCGACCAATCAAAGATGCATGGAATACTCGATCAGGAAATTGCTATTGGAGGCGCTCCGATATCGGGTAGAATTGGCAAAGATCCCGACGATCGATCGGCGGGCACCGGCGGCACGGCAAGGATAGCAATAAAATAAATTGGCTTTATGCCCGATTCTTATCAATGAAATATGCACTTTCTCCGAACAATAGACATATTATGTAATGTGAAATATATTCAGTTTCCTCGTGTTGCACGCTTTCCTCGATACACCACCGATAATGGACGATCGTTATTCAAAATTCTATTCCCCCCGACGCGTTAAGTGGCGAATGATTTACCGCCTTTCCAGGTACCACCGGTGCCTTTTATTCGCCTACGTGGGCAACAACACAGCCGTGAACAACCGTTTTAACGCTTATACTTATACGATACGATCGAAAAATTGGAAAGAATTTCGCCTGGAGAGAAAGGGCGACACCTGTTTTCCATTTCTATTATTTACGGCCTCACGGTTACTTATTACCGACGAACTATGGGAGACACAACCTCGGCCGTCGTTCGTCAACTTAATTACAGGCGATTAGCGGATACCGATGCGTACACAGTGTGAAATCGCGGGATAATAACTCGTGGATTTTCAAAGAGAGAAGAATGGAGAACGCCGCCGCGTGTACGCGAGAAACGTGGAAATTAATTTCTTTGAATAGAGCCTGGGTAGTTTCACCTTTCGGAATTTATGCAAACAACGCGGGTTGACGGTATGCACGGTCATTGTCCAGGACGTGGAGGTGGAAATATTAATGACATTGAAGTCAGAACCGCGACAAACTGAGGCTTTCTAACGATCGAACAGAATTTTAATTTCATTGGTTAATCGTTAATCGTAAGTCAAATGGTAATCCTAGTGAACCATTTATTTGTAATGAAATATTCATATTAATTCGAAAAAAAGAAAAAAAAGAGAGAAAAAATAAGAAGAAAATAAATTTTTGACAAAATGAAATTTAAAATGTATATTTCTTTGTGCACATGCGTATCTTTATTTAACTTTCTTACATTTTAGATTGTTCTTTGATATTATATTTCAAAAAATGATAAAATTATTATATTTATATCAATACTAATCTTAAAAAACGAGAACAAGATTAAGAGAATTAATTTTTGTTCTAGAAAAAGATCTCTTATATGTACAAAAGTAAAAAATATAAGTTTTTTTGAAAGCTATTATATTCATTTTTGACTGATTTTTATACGCAAGTCTGATTGATAAATTAAATTCTGAAGCAAGAGATCATAAAAAATCGAAAACTTGTAATTTTCGACAGAAAAATATTAAATATTTAAAATCAAATTTATGAAATACAATACACATAATTAATTAATACGTAATATTCCGTATACCGACCGTAGATAAAATTAAAAAAAAATTCCCTTACTCTGGATCGAAACGAAATTTTACATCTCTATAACTGTAATTATTATCCCCGGCGTTATCGCGTTAAAAATCGGCGTTAATCTTGCAAAGACGATGGGACTGATTGAAATTCCCGATAATATCGTCTATCAGCGATAATTGAATTATCGGGCAACGAGGCGCGGTAATTATCGGCGATAGTAATTTTTCAACTGGATTTCGATTAGTCTCGGCCGAGCGGGCTAATTAGAAAAAAATATCGCGCCCTCGCGTTAATTAATAAACCCACGCGGCACGGGTTGTCGCGGCGGGGAAGGCCGTATAGGAAAATCGTAGTTTGCGAACACGTAGCGGGGGAACGATATTCATGCCTTGGCTTTGCCACCTCGTATACGGTGATTACGGTGGGCGTGTCGCCGATGTCACGGCCGTGGAAAATTATAATTATTACGGAAACCGTCGTCGATCACACCGTGTTGGAAAGCTTGTACTTGGGCAACCGGATTAATGAATCGCCGTTATTATCGCGGGAAATACGGTCACCGCGATAAATCATTAATTTTCTGCGCAACGTGTGAAGCATGATTTTTTTTTTTTTTTTTTTTTTTTTGTTTAGGAGAATCGATTATTGAGATATCATATTATTCTTCCTCGTTGTTGGAAAGATGCGATTCGTTCATCTTTGAGGATATGTATATTTGATTATTTAGGAGATAAAATAAGATATTGAAGATATTGATTGTTTAGGAAGTATCGAATATCGGGAATGAATTATTAAAATGTCAAATTGGATATATTATTTTGTATCTGTTGTATATTATAGTTGTTGGAAATATGTGAATTCAGTTTTGACAATGTATCTGATTTTTGTTAGAAAATACTTATTAAGATGTTAAATTTTAATGGTGATTTTAAAAGATAATTCAAGTTGTTTAAATTTATCCATTTATAATTTGTTTCTCAGATTTCCAAAATTTGGGTGATATAAAATGTTTTTAAATGTTGATTTCAAAAGATCATATTGATAAATAATAAATTCAATCAAATTAAAATCAAGCAATTGATAACTTTATTTACAATCCATTAGTTGAAGATTGTAATTGATTAACATTATCACTTGATTTCAAAAAAATAATATAATTTTCTTGAAAACTAAGATTAAATATATCAGAATATATATTTTTTAAAAACTAAATGGAAAAATTTATTTTCTATCAATTATTAATAAAAGCATTCTTACTTATAAGTGTATATATATATAATAATAATAATAAAATTTTATTGATCATTTCAAATGACATTGTCAAATATGACAAAATAATATGATATATCATGAAATAGAAATAGATCACTTAATAAAAATATAGCAATTAATCTGACACAATAAGAGAAAATACTAGAAAATAATACAACTAATTAATTATAGAAAGTTTACTATACAATGGCGAATATAGAAATAAAAAAATTCTTACCTACTTCTAATTCAATTAATTATTAATTAAGTAATTATTGTTATAAAAAAATTCTATTCGTATATTTCCTTAATCATTCTTATTCTCGTTCCTACTTTGTTCAGATTTCAGAAAAATTTGCGTTATTTATAAAACATTCTAATATCATATATTCCAGTCACAAAATATATCTTCTTTTTCTATTGTACAAATAATGATAAGGAGAAAAATCGATTACGTATAATTACCTGGGTAAACGGGCGAGGTAGAGCAGAAACGATGACACTTCCTTGACAGAGAGGGCCTCCCTTCTGGACGGCTCGTCCTCGAATTCGAGAACGGGTCTGCCATGGATGTCCGTGCAGCCTACGATTACGAAACAAAAGTTTGGTAAAAATTCGGCCGAATTTCTTTTATCAATTAAATACAAGACTACTCCATTTTACCATTCTTGCACAAAAATATCTCAAAGAGACTGTAAAAAAAAAAAAAATATTCTTGAAAAAATTGTCAGATATAAGAGATTATTATCTTTTAATCGTATAATTTTTAATACCGTTATTTCTCACAAAAGAGCATCAATATATTTATATATTGAGAGATTATTGATTTAAAAAAAATATTCGTATCTTATAACACTTAATATACGAAAGAAGTAAATAAATTTCGAAAGAAACTTTGAGAAACAACATTAAGAAAAACTGACTTTTCCATTTAAATAACGCAAATTACAAAATTTCATTTAAAAAGAGTTTTACATACAACAAAGAGTTATACGACCTCGTTTACACAATTTATCTCCTTGTATCAAGTATCTTTCGTAAAAACATCGTTTCGACAATTTCACTCCCTTCGTAACGTTTCCTTCCTATAACTTAAATAATATACAACCCGGCGTGTATAGCGTATAGCCGGCGAAAAAAAAAAGAAGGGATACGTGAAACAGAGTCGCGAGCCAGCTCACGAAACGATCCGTGCCGCATTAACGGCGTAATAAAAGTCGGTAACAGCATTTGATTACAGGCCGTGATCAGATTCGGGTTGATACCAACGATCGTAATCTTTAAGCTGGCTCGTATAACTTATTAAATGATCGGCTTTTAGCCGTGCCTATCTCGGATACCGCCACCCGGAGTAGGTCATCTTCCGGTTAAATCTTCGACTACCTATCTCCCCCCCTCTTCTTCCTTCTTTTCCTCCCACCGATATATCGATGAAAATGTAATAACCGAACGGAGACAAAGCAAAGGATACGTGGTAGATCCGTGTAAGAAGCACAGAGCGAGTTGAAATAGGGGACGTCGTAAAATCTTATTGTCTTAATCGTGACCGGGATGCGGGATCGGATGTCAATGGCGACCGAGCTATCGCCGCGGATCGGATCGTTCGATTGACACACGACCGATGTTACCTCGCGATCTTGTCGTTGTTCATCGATTAGACTCGATATACGAGCGATACGATCTCTTTCGTGGCTGGGGATGGTATGTCGCTTCGAAGTTCGCTTCGCTTCGAGTTTTGTTTCGGTGGTGATTGATATGTGTGTATATATATATGGATAATTGGAAGAGGATATATGAGATTAAATTTGTTTACATTCATATGTGTAATTGTTACATATAGATTAAAAGTTAAGTGTTATTGGTTAAGAAATGTTATGATTTTATTTATAATAATATTATTATGTATATATATTATATTTATTTATTATTATTTTATTATTAATTATTTTATTATATTATATTATTTATTATATATTTATTTATTTATTTATGTATATATATATTATATTTAATTATATTATTATTATATATTATGATTTTATTTAATAATATTATTGTAGTAATATATATATATATAATTAATATATATATAATGTAATTATAATAATATAACAAGTTGGATATAATTTCGTTTAGTTTCCTCAACTTTAACACGTGAAAAATATTTTCTTTCATAATTGAATAAAATTGCGAATGAAAGGTTTTTGTACATAATATATACTGCAATATAATATGAATTGGTGGAGTAAGTCAAAAAGATAGGCCAAAAATTCTAACTAAAATTCAATATTCAAAATATTATTAATTCTAATTAAAATAATCGAATATTTGAGTTTTGAGGTTATACAAATATAATTACAATAAATATAAATACAATTTTAATATCAAATATTTTTTCCAGCCAAGATTCTGATAACATAAATAATTTGTATTAATTGACTAGGATCTTTGACCACTGATTAATACAATTTTTGTAAAGAAAAATTTGTATAAATAATGCAACGTATCTCGGGCCAGGCCTTTTATCAAGCACGTCGGGTAAACATAATTTGAGATTGGCCACGTCGAATCAATAAATTTCCGTGCGAACGATTTTTGTATCGGGAGAAAAAGGAGCTGGATCTTATCTTTTCTGTTTTCGAGAGCTCGCCGGTGACTGACATGCCGCGACCACGTGTTCGTGACGCGTGCCGTTGCAACGAGAGGTACACGACCAACAGCACGGAATCCGCCTGGGGGTGACCGCTCGAGGGCGTTAATGATAATTCATAGTGGCGTAAGTTACACAGGCGATTACACGGCAAAGCGATGATAATGCCCGATGCCAGTGGGCAAATTCGTGCACGCTTCGTGAATTCTCCATAACACAGGCAATAATACTTGGCGTACAATGCAATTTTATCCTTCTATGATATAATATATATATGATATATATAATAGAGTTTAGATAGAGAAAATTAAAATTTGTTAATTTCGAAGATATTTATCGCGAATTTTATCATTTAATAATAATTATTGTATATACGATGTGAAGTTTATTATAAAATGCTTAATAATCGAAATATCAGGGAATTAAAGTGAGATAGATTTGTAAAGAGAAATAGAAATAGGTGAATTTATTTGCAATCAGGAATTATTGATTTTTGTGTCAAAAAATTATAATCGTAGTGATTTTATAGTATTATACATTATGTATTTATTTAATAAAAATATTTGATCTATGAACTTATATAGAATGGGATGATCGATTTATCAATCAAATTATTATAGAAATATTTAATCAACTATTTCTATTTTTCTAACATAATCTACAAGTGAAAATAATAAAAAAAAAATGTTATATTAAAATTATATATAAACATTCAAAGTTATAAATATTAAGATCGAAATATGTATAATCTCAAATTTTATACACTGAAACTATATATTCGATTCTAAAAAAACGAAAGAACATCGAATTGAACAAATATAAAATCAATTTTTTTCTATAAGCATCGAAAAAAGAGAATAGTCCTCAACCTCGTAATCAATAAAATAAAAATTTAAGCAGAAACTTATCTTTATTAATAAAAATCGTGAGCGAAGAATATTGGTTTTTGACGAATCGTATTAAATTCTATATTGAAATGAGAAATTAAACATTTTAAACGATTCTCAGAAAAAACAATTATACGAATAAAATTGAAATCCTATTTCTTATTTCTCAATAAAAAAGAACAAAAAAGTTCACGATGAAAAGATTAGCAAAATAATTCAATTCACGCGATCAAGGATCCTGTAATTCATATATAATTTAACAATCGATACTCTAGAGTGTTTCCACTTTCTAAAACACTTCTGATACCCACTAAAAACCTTCTTCATTGCTCAAAATCACGAAACCCAACCATCACACGTTCCCTACATTCTCACTTACATAACCTACTTATTTCTGAAACAGCGCACGATCTTCCGCCTATTTTCCCGGAAATGGCGGATTCAATCTTCGATTTCCGCGAAGAAGAAAAAAATCGCCAAGCGTGAAAAAATGTTCGAGACATGTTCTGTCGCCAACCTCGACATCTTCGTCTTCAGAGGTGAAACACTCTCGTGGAAGATCCGGTAATCGATCGGTTATGGTAATTCGAGCGATCGGTCGAGATGGCTTAGAAAAAGATGGCGATCGTTGCATTTCCTTGCTTCGAGAAATCACGCTGGCAACGCGAATTCCCGATGTTTACGACACGATTACCCGTGCCAGTTCTGCTTCCCGATTTTCTATCCAGCCTTCGGCGACCGTTCACGTGTCGTTTCCGTGGAAACGTGTGCGGTTCGAACGTTCGGAATTGTTCGTTCACGGAACGGAATGGAAGGTGGACGGAGGATATAGGGAAGGAGATACGAAGTCAGAGAAAGTTTGCGGAGGGTTGACGAGGTTGGGATTCTTCGAGAGATTGAATTTTTTGGATGGAAGGAATTTTATGTAAAGAGAAGAGTTGTTTGTTTAGAGTTGATGGAAGGGTGGGATTATATGGAAAATATTCGTAATTAATTGTACGGTGTATATTTTTCTTGCAATGGAATGAGATCAATTTGTTAGGTAATCTAATTTTATGTAGAAAATATTCTTCAGAAATAATAATTGTCGACTCGTATAATACTTGAACCAATTATTTATTCGTAATATGAAAAAATTTTCACCAAAGGTACAAATATATAAGTGTAAATTAATATTCTTGTGCGTTCTTTGCATTACTTCTATTCAAAAACTATTATGCAATCGAATAAATGTTAACATTAGATTTATAGAATTTGTCAATTTGACGGGTTTTCGATTTTATGCTTGAGAATTCTGAATATGCAAATATTATTCTTTAAACATTATATATTGGTTTTTAATGATATAATGCGGTAAATGTATATTTCTATTCGTTTTCTCTGGAAACATTTATATTTTATTATTTCTAGATGTTGTATATTTATTTTTACGAAAATCCGTCAATTTTATGGATTAATTTATAATTATTGCGAAATAATAAAAATTAAATAACAATGAATAAGAAAAAGTGATACCAAGCAAATGATGATTGTTTAGCAATAAATACATAATCAAATAAATTGTTTATAATTGCGATATGATAACAAATGGTTCTTTCAACGAATTTTGCAAAGAAAAGAAGTGATTTTTGTAAGTGAATCTGTCTTATTATTTTATATAAAACAAATAGATTTACGTGAGAGATAATTTCAACAGTTTTGTAAAAATTTATTAGCAAAAATTTATTTTCGTAAGCGAAGATTTGAATTTTTTTTCAAGATATTTTCAAAACCCAAAGAAATATATTTTTTTACGTTTATATTATTATGGCAAGTCTTCAAAAGACATGGAATTGATAAAAAAGAATAATAAAAAGAATAACCAGCATAAATGAAAACCAATCTGGATTCTGATATAAATAAATTATGCGAAATTGAGGAAGAATTTGAGAATATAAATTGAAGATTCTGACGACAGTGGAAATGAAAATTATCACAATATATATCATAAAAGAAAAAGAATGCGTGTTATTTCAGATATTGAAAGTGAAATTAAAGATGTTGATA